TATTGTCAGCATTCGTGTTCAACTGTGACGCTTCCCCGCGTGTATTCAAAATTCATTTAACAGGAAAGAATCAAGTGGATGGGGAAATAACTTAGTACTGGCCTACCACAATCATTCCGATGCACCTGCAGCACCAGACACTCGCTCAGCCTATCTGAATCAAAAATGACAACAAGAACTCCAATAACATTGATAAAAAGGCATACTTTGCAGCACCCCGTGACAGTGAGAATTAGTTTGTCTCCATCTTACTGATAGCATTTAGACTTTCGATAATCTCTTTCATATCCCTTGGCGCGGTCGGATGCGAACCTGATAAATTTTTGACATCTAACTAATGGTTTCGTTATTTTGGGGCGGCCGGATGGTCGTGCTTGCTAGATTTTCAAAAATTTTCTTCATGATCGAAAACAAGGTTGTCGGCGGTGGTGTCGGTGGGAGTGGCAACGATGGTTGTGGTGGTGGCGGTGAGTAACCATTTGCGGGCTGAAATGTCTATAAAAGAATAGACATCCGTCCCACAAAAAGTGCCGTAACATTGAATGAAATTATTGCCAAGTACGCAGCCGGTCAGGGATGTAAATTTGCCGAGCTCGATGCAACCTAAACTAATCCAGAAATGAAGCATCCCGCTATGTTTCTCCACATGTTCTATCTGTATTCTGAGGTTCAGTTTTGAAATGGGTGAACAAGTTCACATTGGCGGAACCATCAAATATTATGCTGCTGTGTACACCACATACTGAGGGATATTCGTTTTCTGATTGACAGCTGAAGAGGCGCATGATTCGCTGTGCAAGATAAGGGAGATGCTGAGCAGCATACGTCTGCATCGCGCGTGGGCAAGGGGTTCCAGAAGCCAAGACAAAACATGGATTGAGTGTCCACTGATGTCAGTAGTATTTGCCAACTCCCAGATACACCAGACTACACTCTCACCCAAATGTTTACACTTACTGAGACAGTATGGCTAACTCATTTGAAATAAAAAATTAGTGGTTAAGAGAATCAAATGAACAACCAGTGGCTGCTGACTACCACAGAACTACCTATCCACAACTGATAGACTTATCTGCGGCAGTTTCGTTAAAACTCACGGTTTCCGAATCCGTAATCCAATCATACGAGTATTCGGTCGCTAGACATGCATCGATTCGCCTGTCATCACAAAAAATTGCCCAGCTGTCTTCATCTTCTTTGGCTGAAGTTGTCACGTAGACTGCAGTTTCGTGGGGTTCAGACAAGAGAGCAAATGGATTACTATCACAAATGTGTGAAATAGTGAGTTATATTATCGATGGACAGATACCGTGGTTCACAAAAATCGTGAAGCTGCAAGAAATCGAAAACCAAATCTTTACACAGAGGGTCACTGAAAAATCGTTGACAAAACACCATGGTTTTCACGCTTCTTGGGGTCAGTCAGAAAAGTGCGGTGCTCGAATTTCCCTCAAGCACAATCATTTCTTCAAATCAGACTGGATGTAGCTCTCCAAACACGGTTGGTTCAGGCCGTCCAAATCACCTCAGTATGTATGTATGTAGGAAAAACATACTATGTAGTATGTTTTTCCTCTGGTTAAACCCCCATCAGAAGAGATCACTGACCAGAACGGTCAAAAGTTGTCACGTCACTGGTATTATACCTGTTGTTTGATCCGCGGAAGTGTACTTTTGTATGAAAGACCCACGATCCTTTCATAATTTATAAATGCGATATCCACCTGAGATTGTTGGTTGCTGCAAACGGCCATCAAATCTCACAGGCGCTGCACCGATATTACATTGACTTCGTCTAACCAGCTGAAACTAGCTCAGCAGCAGAGGTGACATTAATCGATGAAGATGAAATGTTTTCTTACTATCCGTCCAAAAGCTTTTTGCAGATGACCAGGGACTACTTCCTTTCAAGGATCACAAGAGAACAAGCATGAACCATGCGTGAAACTTCGCTTTGTCGTACTGGTCAGTGCGCTATTTTACCCATATGTGAGGGAAATTCTGGATGACACTTCACAGGATCCCCACGATTGCCAGGCTAAAAATTCCGCCACTTACTTCCCACATCTGGAGGAAGAATATCGAGAAACATAGAGCCAGAGTTGCAAGAATCCATGTAAAGCACCAATTTGTTATATTTTCTCTTTAAATGCATATGGGCGAAGATATCGTTGAATTCCGCAGCATTGAGCTGTAGGAAGGCATTAAACAAAGAGAATTCGTACGAGCTCGAAAGATTATAGCTGAACGTGTATTGAGTTTTTGGAAATATTCTACATCAGGATTAGTTGAGAGACTACACTTGAATGCGTTTTGTTTACGCAGATTAACCTGTTTCTTGTCTTTGTTTTCATGGAATATCAGTGACACTATGTCCTCTGTAGTGTTAGCCAGCTATCCTGGTGATATTCAGTAAATCTCCCTTGGAAAGAGCACGCAAGGACCAATGTTAGATTGAATGAGCTTGCAGTCACAAATTCGGAGTAATGAGTTGACGGTTTGAAAGACTGATGTCAGATCACTCCGAGTTTCAATTTCACTGTTGTTTTTAACTATTTCCATATTCCATTCACCGTGATGGACTTAAATATGCTTGGTGGCATATTAAGAATGACTACATCGATCAAAAATATTAAAGCAATAAAAGCATAAAGTAAATTAAAGCATAAAGTAATTAAAGCATATTAAAGTAAAGCATATTAAGAATGACTACATCGATCAAAAGCTACGTGAATACGCTCAGTACAAAGGGTCCCTATTAGGGTGAATTTAGCCTTCATATGAGGAACTGCAGCATAAGTCTCGTGCTGCTTGTTGAGTAGTGAACTGCCGTCCTGTAAGTCAAGCCAATCTGTGGAGAGAATTCTAGCCCTAGTCACGTTTGATGAAAATTTAGAATGATTTCCATTAAATAGAAAAATTCCAAATGTCATCTAACTACTAACACACTGTTATTAGTAGAGAAGGAACAATAATCCACACGGTGAATGGATTTCTCATATGAGTTGTCACTCCAGGAGTAAGTCACCAGTGATGTGGTTCCCTTGCTTGAAGGATGAGCGACGTAATATGCTGACTAACTGCGCATAAACCAGGCTGTCGGTTGGCCGCCCGTGGCCGAGCGGTTAAATTTTGCAACTACAAAGCACATCACTGATGATTCCCAATAAGGATGGATCAGATGTACAGTGGTTCTCGGCTTTTCATCACAGACTGCATTCTTATACATACTATACGTGGATCTATTCATATGCTGCCTCTTGAAAAAGTAAAAAAAAAGCATATTGTCTTCGTATCACCTGTGTCTCATGAGTGACCGTATTCCGTTGTTCAACAGTCTAAATGGATTAACGGCAAAATTATGTGAGTTGAGCGAACTTGAACTAAGTAAAATGAAATCTACATAATGTTGTCAATATAGCACCTTGACGAGGCCTGCCGAACTTGACAGAAAAAGACGCCCGAAACTCGTAGCTTCTTTGTGCCATCATTCGGTGGATGTGTGAGCCAGTTGTTAGTATAAATTCTGTTTTATAAGGAACCACAAGTGGCAATGCGCTTCTTCATTTTGTTCAAAATTAAGCCTCTTTTAGAAAAGTTGTGTGCTATAAACGTGTTTACCAATATTATCCAAACTTACTTGTCCCTCTGGGAAGGAAATGTAGCGATACGCACCATGGCCAGAGTAATAGACGAAAACGTTGTCATCAGGACCGCTGCAAGTGGACGAAAAGTTTAAGGTGGTCTTGAAGAGCAGATTATTGAGTGGCGCTCTCGCGCATATAAAAGCACAACAAAGAAGCCGCGGAAATGGAAATTCGACTGTAATATTCCCCAAAAACATGGGTCTTGCCGTAAGTTGCAGAAGCCGTGTTGTAACCTAAACGGTCTTGGCTAACTCGTGATTAAGGAAGTCACAAATGTATAAAATTCCCCCAGTTCATTTTCGTCCATTCCACGTGTAGAAAAGATATGTTCCGCACAATTCCTGTGCGTTGAGCACTCAACACGAATGCAATGAATGGATAACGTACGCGCAGGTCAGAATATTGTTTTGTACACGCTACTGGATGTAGTCAGTAGCTAAATTAATTTCCATTCGTGAGATTTTCGCAAGGCCCCATGGATATGGGAATGAAAAATGGATCTTTCGGACGCCTGTTGGATTGTTGTTGCATCACGCGATATAGAATCTCCTTTAACTTTTAACATAAGAAGTTAGTTGAAAGCGGTTTTCCCCTTTAGCTAGTTTTATCATCTTGCCATTGGAACGATGACAATCAGCGTTTTTGGAATCGCGCTTTCAGCAGCGTAACTAAACTGGTGTATGAATTTACCCCTACGATGCACTGACTAGTAAAATCAACGTTAGACAAACCTATATTTCGAACACGGACATCCACGAAACCATACGTTCCGTTTGTCTGAGGACCATTTGTTCATGGTCTGATTGATCGTTTGCCGATTTCCGTTGTGCCACGGTCTCCTTCCCTACATTTGATTGGCTCTCATTCCGACATTTGCGTTTCGTAGTTCATTTTGATTGGTTCTTTCTGATTCCCTGTGGTGCTGCAGCCTGATTTTTCCGATTTAGTTTGAGTGTAGGCTGTTCGTGTTGATAACACTGTTTTCATTTTGCAAGGGGCCTAACGCCCTTGATTACCTATCTATCATTCTTTTTTTCTCTATATCAACAATCTAAGTGTGGGATCAGAAACTCTGAAGCAGTTAACAGAGCGGGCGATTACTGATTAAGCGGTAATTTCGGTTCTTTACAGTGTATAACTGACCGTACGGGAGAATTATGGTTTGCAAGTGAAAAAACGTTTTCCTGGTATCCTGGCTTGAATCTGCAAGCCGAACGATTCACTTCTCGTCATACGCGGGTCAAAAAGCCGTGGAAAAATTCTCAAGAGATGAATTGTGACGTTACAAAACCACATGTAACCCTAGGCCAGGCAATTATTCTAAAAGCTGAGAGGATTATCGATGAATGGTAATATGAATTTGAGTGACTACTATTCAGCCAATCGAAAGAACTGCAAGTGGATTTCGATTATTCATTATTCACAAAGAATAAAAGCAAAATCGGAATCCGAGCAAACCAATATCGACCGACCTGAATATGTAAAATATTGGGCATATATTTGACCATTCACAACTGAGCATATCTGAATAGTTTCGAAACTTATCAGCAGTGGCGATTGATGCCTATGATACTATAATAACCCGTAGTCTGGAATTGATAAACCAGGTTTCTTTTGGAGTAAAGCAAATCCTTTCGACTGCCTTCTGGAAGCTTTACTTAAAAAGATTATGTACACATGACTTCTTAGGATACCAAACACGCGTATCCCAAATCCTAAACCGCTGACCTGTAACACTAGAATTCTGGCTGTGATCAGCAAGTGCATCACCAACGTCCACTTCCGCGGGAACTCACCTTTTCAACACCTTCTTCCCTTCTCTTTCAAGTTTCTTATCGCCCGTCAGTACTTTCGTGAAGAAAAACGGTTTGACGTCCTGAAGCAGATAAACTCGCATAATCAATTATTTCTGTGACAATGGTATTCTCCACAATTATTCTACTCACAGTACCCATCTATTTACAGTCTAGCAGAGTAAGAGAAATTTATGATGTGCTCTCTATCTTCGCTCAGATCAATTTCAGGACGGTCGCTGAATGAGAAAAACCTAAACGTTGATTGTTGGTGAGTTTACCGAGCATGGCAGTTGGATCAGGCAGGTTGCCAAGACAAACTTTGATCGAAACAAATAGCCAATCCTGATCCGGTGTCCACAGTATGCTGTTTGTCAAGGGCAAATCCATGATGCACCAAAATTTCCAGAAGATAGTCGACGCATACACTTCATGAACGGCGCTCTGTATCTGGTTCCGGGCACTGATGCACGCTCAACACCATTGGTGGTTCTTTTGAAAAGAAGACTGGCTTGGAATTTTCAGGTCGAAAACCAAGCTGTGAAAATACCATTATTACACCAAGCTTACATGATAGGAAGCACCCAGAATTATGCACTCGGTCGTGGGCTGCTTTAAAGTTCTCTATCACCTTACGACTAGTGTTTATTCAAGTAAATTACCGTTCTATATTGTAGTAAACCGGGTTAGTCTACCCTACGGTTACTCTTTTGCTTTTATACGCAGTGCCCTTTTAGTTGCCCCTTGTGTTACACAGTGAATAAATTCATTTAATTGCTGCGCACGGACATACTTTTCCACGGTAGTCAATTACCACATCCTTGTAAACATCTTTGTGCGTGTAGTCATGGAACACTTGGCCTTTGAAGGGATTCCTGGAATAAAAGAATGAAAACTGACAATGTGATTTTGGAAGAAATTAACATGGAGGTCAAATAGAAAGAAATGAAATGCTCGTAACGTCCGTTTGAATTCGGTTTTTGGTCCTGTATTTAGAGGAATTTTCACGCCGATGAGTGCACCATATGGCACACTCTATATTAAGTTTTGACTGATGTATGGATCCCAGATTGGTTCCGGTAGGCAAACAACTCATAAGATTACAAACTGTGTGTGAAAAAAATTTTTTCATGTAAATGCACAGCCAAATACCACTAGTAACAGGTTGTATGAGCACATTATCACCGAGTGCCCTTGAGTGTAATTCGGTTGGGCAGTGAACGGCTTACGTTTATTAGAAACTCAAGTCAGTAGAATGTTCCATCCACTAATCCCAGGAATCGGCTGTATGACAAAATGTTAGGTCCACTAGGTTGTCCGCTTATTACTTGCTCTAAATCATCAGCCGGCTGATGCACTCAAACAACATCTTAGTATCGATGTTATTCATTTTACTGACAATCGAAACAAAGTTACCGTTTGCTATTCATCAGCGAGAATATACAAGAATGATTAAAATTTCATCTGGTATCGATTGTGTTGGTTGCATCAGGGTTATGTGGCGTTTAGTGCCATGAAGGGGGGCGAACTTTTTGGTCATCTCGAGTGACGCTCAAAAACAGACAGTTTTCTCCAACCGGATTCCATTCATGATTTATATCCGTGAAATATACGGCTCAAACGTGGGAAAATTTGAAGCCAAATAGAGAGAGGCGATTTCTACAGTCTAATTACTACCAGATGACAAGCATTTTACGAGATATTTACTTCGGATTGTTTGCAATATCGTCGTAGGCAATGGGAATTATATTCTCCGCTGGAATTCTGTTTGCACGCAGGACGTGATAGGCGTGATAAACGTTTGCCTGAGGGAAAATAAAAATTACAGGTGAATGAATGATAACAGGCAGAGCGGGGCACATAGGCTAAAGAAGGCAAGCAGGTTGCCTAGGTTCATGCATACTTGGTAGAGTGTCAAAAAGCATTTGGATGCCTCATTCTTGCCCAATAATTTAAATGTAACATACTCACGTGTGTTTCCGTTAATTAATTGATTGAATTTGGCCACGGCAGCTAACTTGTCAGATATTTGGCTGTTGCGGAGCTCAAGTACATTGTTTGGGCTTTTAAATCGTGATCTAAACATTTATCTGAAGCCAAGCTCTGCCATAAAGTCAAGCTTCACTGTGCAACTGATGCATCCTTATTGAAAATTATCTGTAGTGCGATGTTCATACTTCTCCGGAGAGTCCCGAAACCGCTATTTCCCGGCAATCACTAGGAGGCTGAGCCGATTGGCCACGAGCAGCTGATTACCTCGCGCCGCAACCCACTTGGGAACGCGGTTTAATGAGGATTCTTCCAAGAAACAAAAATACCTCAATTCGTCGTATGGTAAATCCAAACGTATGGTCAATAATGTTTCGCTGCATTGGGTATATCCGTTCCTTCGGACACCATCACATGAGTCAAGCATTCTACATGGCTAGCACATCAGCCCTCATAGAATGCTTTCGTGATAACCCGTCAAAGCTGCTTTTCATATGCCATTGTGAATACACTGCGTCAAATTTGCCTTAAAATGGTGTAAATTCAGTGCCAACGTTTTTCCCGAAAGTGCATTGCTGATTCTTCCGGAAGCGAATTCCTCGGATGTTTGAAGGTGTTGCATATCAATGGCTGGAAAGCTTCCACAGTGGTCAATATCGATCTCCATCCAATGTAATCAGGGACAGCTGTTCATCCGGGTAAGAAAAGAAATCGAACGAGATCTTTCATCACATAAATGTGTTTTCTCATAAAGATGAAACAGTGATATTTGGTGATCATGAGATTTTGCGTCATTTTCACGACATCCTGCCGCCTGACCACCATCGATCGATAATTTAAAAAATAGCGACTTCTACAAATCGTTGAGTTCCTTCTTGAGGTTTCTCCAATGGATCTGGCCCCTGTTGCCTCGTTGATTAAGCGCCGGAGATTTATCATTTCTTAAGCAACCATGCGCCTCACTTAGAACTAAGATAATCCTAATGACCACGGATAACACCCTTTGCCTTCGAAGATGTTTTACCACGATCCGTCCAGATAAACTACTGAAAGAAACTCAAAGGGTGTTCCTGTTCTCCTGTTGTCAGTGTTGTCACTCGAGCTGAAAATATGCTGTATCTGGGTCTTTCAGAGAAAGGTTGTACCTCACAGAGGCCTGACGGTTTGTGCGCCTCAACAATCCACTGAGCAGTGTGTATGTGACACTCATAGAGCTTTCCATACCAGTTTGGTCATTGGGTAGAAATCACCGATGTTAGGGGACAGAATTTCGCCTGTGACTGTCTGCGCGATCCACCACCAATCTGGAAATCCACCAGTGCAACTAGGCTGTCGGGATGAATGACATAACCGAAGACGCCAATTGACTTTTTCTATCTCTAACGCCGGATACTACTGCTTAGGCATGCGAGTAGTCTTCGGTCTTCTCGAAGTTCCGCGCCGCGTCAAATTGAAGGTGAATTTTACTGAGGAACTTGTGGAAACTTGCGTAATTTTCACTCCGTTAGGACATTTGAATATTTTAAGTTTTCGAAATCTATTAGCAAATGAGACGTTTACTTTCGTGTTCAATAGGTTGTTGCTGCTTAGTTTGTGTTTGCGATTAAACATCTTCTCGGTGAAGGGCATTCCTCCTTACACTGGTAGTATCCCAGCCTAATTCCAACTGCGGATTGCACGCTTACAAGTGATCTTATGCCACATCGGCCGGGATTAATGTCCTTAACCCGGTTCTCTTATCTGATCTATACCGTAGGGCAAGTAAGTAAAAAGAGACTACAACTGAAGCCTTCCTTCCGCCTTTCTATTTCATATATCCGGTATTCTCACTTTCCTCGACCCGTGATAGCAACATCCACATAGGCATATTCTTAATATCTGAGGGATCTGTTTACCTCCCATTATCGTCAACTGCAATTTTCGCGGTTGGTTCGGTCGCCACATCCTCAGAAGCCCCTGCATTTGTTCTTTAGTTGGTCTGTCGATTTTTAATGTTTGTGCTCTGAAACAAGCTGCGCGGCATCCATGTTCGCTGTAAACGCTTCTCAAATGAGGATGTAATATCCCTCAATTTCGCTGCAATTATCTCTTCATGGGTTTCCGCTCGCTTTCAACCGCGCCCCTATGGTAATCTAAGAGGTACCGCCGCTTGTTCTACTGGGGCTGATATTGGTCTTTGACACCAAACCAAAGGCTTTCTCATTGAATAGTCAAACGTATTCATGGAAGCTTTCTTGCAACACCTTGGATAATAACCAGAAAGAAACAAGCCCGTATATTATTGTGGTTGTCGAAGACATGAATGCACAAGTAGCCAGACTTTGCACTTCTGCGACTCATTTGTGTGGGTGCAGAACCAAAGTTGAAATGCACCGACCACGGTGGACGCCTGAAATGGTTACGTGTCGAAGATGGGCGGGAATAACTTCCGGAACAACTGAAGCCGCATCGCCGTATGTCGCTCCTTTACAAAACCCGTCCGCCAGCACAGACTGACCACACCGATATTAGCTATATGTGGCGTTGCTTCTTCTGAAACACCTCTGTCATCCCAGATCAAAAGATTTTTCTTCGCTGATTTTGTTGCACTGTCGCTGGACTTGGATGATTAGCACACATCAGATGACCGTTGAGAAGCCTTCGAATCCTAATGTTAAGCAAGACTACCAGAACTAATTTTGACGTCCCACCCGGACGTGGAGACTTCTGGTGTTAATTTCCACTGAAACGTGCTGGTTGCAAGAGGCTGAGCACCACACTTGTGGAATATTGCAACAAACTAGTTGCGAGTTCTGAATCTCGGCCAACACTCCAAATTCCTCCAAAACTTCGACAAGTTTACCTCCAGGTAGCAAGCACAATATCACTCAACGAACAGTCAGACTTCTGGTAAGAAACAACACCTGCATGGGTTGAGAATCTTTTTGAACTGAAGAGGTGAATGAAGCAAGAAACTCTTGAGTTATACTTCTCTATACCAGCTAGTATGCGCAAAAGTCCCAAAGAAGCCTTCCATGAGCCAAGCAATCATTGTTATACAATAACAATCATTAGATGAACGTTTTCAACAATTAATCGACTGATTAACTTCGGCTTCTCAACTTGGGTCATGACACTGAAAGTGGAAGCACCAAAGGCTTTAGAAATAATCAGTTGCATGTTCTACTTCAAGAGTTACCATGCTGCTGGTCCTGACCAACTCCCAGTCACTTGGATTAAACATTGTGGTGAAGTACTTTGTCGTTTTTTGTCTGACTGATTTGCATTTCCTGGGCGGAAGAAACAGTTTAAACAAGCTGAGCCCACTTGATGAGGCCCTAAGTGAGTGTATCTGTCACCGAGGAATTAGCTTGACTTCCGTTGTGACAAGAATGTTTCCTGTACCTACTTTATGTTTCCGTTGTGGCAAGAATGTTTCCTGTACCTACTTTATGTCGTTCCACGATGAAATTTGTAGACAGGGCCTAAGAAGGGGAAGCGGAATTCCCAGCTTCTAGCGATCGTGTGGACCACAGCTCCAATGTTCGTCAAGTGTCAGAACGATTAAATGCGTACCCACTGAATCTTATTACTAGATACGGATGCATTCAATATGCGTAACCATTTTGCATTCGATCCCCACGCAAATAGGGTACGATCGGACGGGTGACTTTAATCATGTTTATTTCAAATACACACTACTTGATCTTACAAAGTAGTGTAGGAGTAACATCTCATATTCCATGTCAATTCCGGTGCTTCCTAAATTGATCTGTTTGGCGCAACATCTAATGTCGTTGCTACGCCAGTCTTTGATGAAATTTCCGGGACCTGGTTTAATATTCAGGTCACCCTAGGTTGAGTTACTGCGGAGTCTAGGAGCATTTCTCTAACGTGATTAAGCTACAAAGCAAGGTTAGGTGATTTGTGATGAATTGTGCTCAACGAATTCCTAGAATTTTCTTATTTTATGCAAGAACATACCCCCTACTCGAAGACAGTGATCCCAACCAACATAACGCAACATAAAACACTTATGGGTGACGATGTTGGTCTCCGACTAAGCCGAATCACGTTTTGTAACTCATTAACATAAGAGTTTATTAGGTCCGGAAAATCGACCGAACACAAAGCAAAATATCGTGGCATGACAAGGAAATACTGTTGAAGACAAACACAGGTAAGCAAATGTGTGTCTACTAGATGACATCTGTCTACCGCCTTTCCAGTGGAACATTACATCCATTGAGGAAATTAAGTAGGAGACAACTGTTTCGAGTACCATTTGTGCAAATGTCCACTTTGGAAACTCTTCCATGCGGTCTTTAGAAAAAGGTTTTGAGCACCAAACCAATGAGAAACCAACGAAAACCTACTTGATGGCGATAATTTACCCAAGTGTTGGTACCAGCAACAAGGACGGCCCAGTTCTTTGATGGCTGGTTGTTAAATATCGATGACCAATTGTGAACACCGGCGGCTTCCAACCATGCAACATGTTCGACGCAGAACAAGAACGCAATAAGAAGCGAAGAACGACCCATCATTTCCAGGCTTACTTGAAGCTTCATCTATCTGCAATCTTATACTCTGCGCCTCTACTAAACTGAACTTTGCCTTACACGTGTATGGCGATGGTGTGTAAAAGCTATCCATCACAAATCTCATAATATTGCGGTACAAAGTATTTGCTAACCAATGTATCATCGGCGAATTTGATCAGCTTGTTCAATGGCTGATCATTTGAGCAAACATTTTACAACACTTCGTGCACATTGGTGAATTAGGGGTTTTTTTAGGACAAATGCGGATCATTCCTTTGAGCAGCTATGTGCTTCACACAGTACTGGGCAGCACACTGAGTCCTCAACACTGTTTCACCTAGCACGTGGCTTCAAACGTACATTCGCTGATAACTTGGGTCATTGGGGATAATGATACAGATTTTTGTCTTAAAAACCACCCGGAAAATATTTGTGTTCGCAGTGGGTCAGATTAAATTCTGACAGATCAATAGGACTTATTGATCTAACTTCCTAAAAGATGGGTATTTATTCACTGCGTAGATTGATGGGCTCATGAACCTTCTGACATAAGTGGGGGAAATCGAAGTTCATGCGAAGTTTTGAACCAAGAAATTTACTATTCTCAAAGGTTTTAGGTTAATAGGTTTCTGATTTCGCTGGTCATCATTCGATTTTCAGGCTCTGCTGATGATGTGCATTGGTTATCGATTTTCGGTCGGTTACTTTTGAAAACATCATGGTGAAACGTGGCAACGCAAGAGTAAACAAGCTTACATGTGAAACCATACTGTCGTTTTCGCGCATCAGACTCTCCTTAAGTTGGGTGAGCAGGTTATTCTAGCTTGCACCATCTGCCGTCATCCTCTATCTCCTGCCCCATACAATATACAATACATACATACATACAATATATACAAAGTTCACTGACTTGATGAAATTCGGTGAGGACCTGAATCAAGAACCTTTGAGACCACGGACATGTTTTTGTTTGGTGAGAGGACTTGTTCCAAACAAAGTCCACATTTAAGCTACCAGCGAAAAACCATCCGCCCAAAGGTCACTTATGCATTATTCCTTCATCCATTTAGAAAACTCGAGAACGAAAAGCTTATCCTTCAACCATATACGCACGCAATTATCGATTTATTCATTTTTTTGTCAGAATTTACTGTTTGGTACGCTGCGATTAGTGGAACACTATGAGGGTGAACATAATTCGGGATAAGAAAAAATTTATACGATCCATAAGTGGAATTTGGAACATCACAGACAGAGGTGTTCTTCCAAGCCAAAAAGTGACGTTTTGGTTTCACGTTTATCCTCTTTCAGGAATATGCAAGTCTTGTTTATCTATTCCATGACAGTTTCTTTGCTTATAACAGCTCGATAACGATAGCTGTATGAGAACCAGAGGGAGGATTAGTGTTTGGAACACCAGCCAAGAAATTGAGTGTTCGTTTCTTGAGACTTACAGTTCTAGTGAACCTCAGTAAAGGTGAAACAGATGTACATTGCTTCCTGCCTTCACTTACCGGACGAAATGTTGATGAGAATTCGCTGAATAACTCTCTTTTTGTCAGCGGTGGGAAGGTTTTCTGTGCATCTCCAAGTTCACTGGACGTCGTGATCTCTGAGCTTTCAAACTCATGCGTAATCTCAAGTTGTAGTGCAAAAGACGAAGTTCATACACAAATCTGTGACATCCGGATCATTTTCATAATTCTAGACATGTATGGATGTAAAGCTGAACACTTCCATTTTCAGAGAATGGGTCGCCGTACCGTATGTTTGGCTTCGTGCTATAGCTGCCAGACACGGCTACTGAGATTAACTAACCAAGACGTCTTTGAGTCCCCGATCAAAAGCGGCATCAACGAACCAAAGCTGATGTAAACCGGTGTCTGTAAATAAAAAACAACAGAGTTAGAAAAGAAGTGTTCGTGTGCGCCAAAGGACTTCAATCGAGACAAGTGTGATGGTAAGAAAAAGACTTCGGGGATTCGGTGCATGCCCGTGTGAATCTCCTTCGAGGCTAAAGCAAAATACCCCTGACCAGAGCAGTGTTATATCTTTTCTCTTTGAAAGCACCAATGTGAATCTGAGAATATTGAAATAATCTGGGGTAAACCAGATGACATCCGAGACTGAATATTGAAACTGATTCCCTTGTTAACCTGCTCAAACAGGGTAAGTAGTTCATAGTGATTTAATTGATGTTTCGATACCTAGGACCTATCATATTCACATAAGAATAAATTAACATCCAGCCACAAGGCTTTCACATATAAAATCAGAATTTTCTGCTGAAAAACGGCCGAGAAGTCTTCGAGTGAATAAAGAGCACTTCAATTTGGATAACAGGAAAATGCTTACCACTTCCTTCATTCATTCATTAGAGGACGCCTCGATGGTGGATGAGTGGTTTGGCAGCACCTCTAAACACTTTCATCCTGGATGCAACAACCCAGCCAGCGCCAAGGCTGATGGTCACCGATCGTTTTTAGGCAGTATTCGCCAGAATTTTTTTCGCTGTTATCATTCCTGGTTCGTTTTATCGCAGTCGGTAAAAAATTCGATATCCCCAAATTTATTCTATGCAGGATATCCAATTGAGTTCGGCTTTAACTTGGCTCATTTCTCAATAAGCCAAATTAATAATTTTTTCCCTGTGTAAAGATGGAGGTTGGATTAAATTAGCCCGAAAGGCCCCGGGCATTTGCAAATCTCCAATCCATGAGCATTCTAATTCGGTATTCAGTGTTAGACTCTAATTCCACTCGGACCCTCCACGGATGTCTAAACTACTTGTGGGTTCCACGACTATACTAGGAAGAAGATGTAGTCGGCTATATGTTGCTAGCCCGAGAAAGCTTGGGAATATTTGTTGAAAATTTCTCCTTGAAAGTAAATGCAGTTTGCGGCTTCAAGCCACGCAGCACCTCTAACACTTTCATCCTGGATGCAACAACCCAGCATCTGCCAAGGCTGATGGTCACCGATCGTTTTTAGGCAGTATTCGCCAGAATTTTTTTCGCTGTTATCATTCCTGGTTCGTTTTATCGCAGTCGGTAAAAAATTCGATATCCCCAAATTTATTCTATGCAGGATATCCAATTGAGTTCGGCTTTAACTTGGCTCATTTCTCAATAAGCCAAATTAATAATTTTTTCCCTGTGTAAAGATGGAGGTTGGATTAAATTAGCCCGAAAGGCCCCGGGCATTTGCAAATCTCCAATCCATGAGCATTCTAATTCGGTATTCAGTGTTAGACTCTAATTCCACTCGGACCCTCCACGGATGTCTAAACTACTTGTGGGTTCCACGACTATACTAGGAAGAAGATGTAGTCGGCTATATGTTGCTAGCCCGAGAAAGCTTGGGAATATTTGTTGAAAATTTCTCCTTGAAAGTAAATGCAGTTTGCGGCTTCAAGCCACGATGCAACGTGAAGCCGTTTCATGCTTGTTGGGAATAATCAGCAGTGCGTATCTCATGGAATTTGAGGGAGGTCCGAACCGAAAACATGACGGACCGGCTAGCGGTTTCAGCACTTGAACGTGGGGTTTCAAGCGGCTGGTAAGCAATGTGATTACATCTCACCAAGTCTGAGCATAGCAGCGCTCATCCATCAACAACGTAAAACCACACCACGTGGTCACGTTTTTGGGTGGGCCCCTCGAACGACCACAATTCAGCGAATATATTCATCCTCTGACCTGTAAGTGAAGCCAATCTAAGCGAAAACATCGGGAAGCAGACAACCATAGTTTTATCCTATTTGGAAACCATCAGCAATGCGCACCCCACAAAACCGGGATAAAGTGTCAGTTTGAAGTTGCCCGCTAATGGGATCAGTTTATAAAACGAATCTCCGCTTTGTCAGGGCATTATGCTTCGATGACGACATCTATTGACAAAGCAACGTTATTCGAACAAGGTTTACTACTTCTGCAATTTGTAGCTATATTCCTGAGTAAACTAGTTGACCAGAGTGAGAATATTTCAAAAAACGAATCTCATTTGCACCAAAAATTCGTTTTTGACAGGGGACTCATTCGAATTCATCTTTTAGTATGGTGGCCGATGTCACTGCGCTAATCTAGATCCACCCGAGAATAGAGGAGTAATCCTAAGTTCCAAGTGGTCTCGGACAAGGACATATATCCTTGCAATGGCTAGCCATGCCCCACTTGTAACTTCGGTCCGGTTGGCCTGTCTTCCTGACTCTGTGTTGATGGCTGCAAGCGAGTCGGTCCACTTTTTTATTCAGGTCCTCCACTGTTAAACCATTCCCGTTCTCTAGGGACTTAGCCAATGCGGACCGCCAGAACTGGATTTCTGGAAAACTCACTATTCAGGGGCACTTAGTTAGTATCACCTGGTTGCCAGCTTAACCCAAATTACCCTCCAAAATTTATTCTTCTGAACATCATTGGGTAAGAAGAACATCGCTAAACGTTTCATTGATTTAACTGAATATTTGAAACGCTGCCTGAACTCTCATGCCATGAGCATCCAAGCGAACTCGTTGATGACACAACAGTCCCGTTTGAGAAATAGGTGCAATTTGAGTTCAGCAGGCGTTAGTATCTGCACACTGTTCAATGCCAGCGCTAAAACCATGTTCCATCAGGGGCAAAACAGGGGATCCACGAGTAATTCCAATCGCTGTCATGCTTGTCTGCTAGACTGATCAGTGTTCGCTCTGCTCGATTATTACTCCTCATGATTCGCGCAACCATCAGTCGCTACATTTGGTTAATCTGCTCGAACGCTTGATGCTCTGCGTTTCTCTACGTAAGCCGGAAGCCATTTATTCATGTATGTACCTAACTCCCCATGTATTTATGTATGTATAGATATATGTAAGTATGTATGTATGTATGTATGTATGTATGTATGTATGTATGTATGTATGTATGTATGTATGTATGTATGTATGTATGTATGTATGTATGTATGTATGTATGTATGTATGTATGTATGTATGTATGTATGTATGTATGTATGTATGTATGTATGTATGTATGTATGTATGTATGTATGTATGTATGTATGTATGTATGTATGTATGTATGTATGTATGTATGTATGTATGTATGTATGTATGTATGTATGTATGTATGTATGTATGTATGTATGTATGTATGTATGTATGTATGTATGTATGTATGTATGTATGTATGTATGTATGTATGTATGTATGTATGTATGTATGTATGTATGTATGTATGTATGTATGTATGTATGTATGTATGTATGTATGTATGTATGTATGTATGTATGTATGTATGTATGTATGTATGTATGTATGTATGTATGTATGTATGTATGTATGTATGTATGTATGTATGTATGTATGTATGTATGTATGTATGTATGTATGTATGTATGTATGTATGTATGTATGTATGTATGTATGTATGTATGTATGTATGTATGTATGTATGTATGTATGTATGTATGTATGTATGTATGTATGTATGTATGTATGTATGTATGTATGTATGTATGTATGTATGTATGTATGTATGTATGTATGTATGTATGTATGTATGTATGTATGTATGTATGTATGTATGTATGTATGTATGTATGTATGTATGTATGTATGTATGTATGTATGTATGTATGTATGTATGTATGTATGTATGTATGTATGTATGTATGTATGTATGTATGTATGTATGTATGTATGTATGTATGTATGTATGTATGTATGTATGTATGTATGTATGTATGTATGTATGTACTCTGTCTGTAGCAGCGCCCTCCATTTTTTATGAGTTCACAGTTCCGGAGTTTGCATTTTGTTGCTGCAATCTGTAACGATAATGCGTGACTATCCAGTAAATAGCTAGGAAGTTGCTCTACGCGCAACAAGCGATTGAATGCCGATGTGAGTCGAAGTTAGAATGAAGGCTCACTGACTGTTTGAATATCCACTAAACGTTTACTGGCGGTCAAAATTGTCTGGACGTCTCCCCTCTGTCCTAATATATGAAGATGGCTCAAGGCCTTGAAGTCCTTCTTCGTGAACGACACACTGAACACTTGCGAAAAAATGAAAGGTAAGTTTCCAGCCACCTGAACGAGGTTCACTTCTTCCTGTTTGCGCATGGACCAGGCCTGGGTACACCATCCTGGGTATGTTGTTACAAAACGTTAAAAAACATCGAAGAATACTTCACGACGTATTTGAAACCGCTAGACATTTCAGTTGAGAGAACATCCACGTGGTGCGCTTCGCCGCATTCCCACATTGGCCAGCCACTTCAGAATCGCTGACAATACCTATCTCGTGATCGTTTATTATTTTGAAATGGTTTGTTAGTAGCCCCCTTACAACTGGACGCTGCAATGATCTGACTTGAAACAGGACAACTAGATGTATTATTTTTGCTTCTAACTGAATGATTCCAACACTCCAATCGCTCTCACGGTCTGATGAAATGTATTTTGGTGCCGTGACCGACTTAATGTCACCGTGTTACTTACCCAGTTATCTAAATTTCGTGTGCAACATAATAATATGATTCCCACCTGAGTTGAATCAATGTCAACCGTCCACTGCATTATGAACAGGCGCACAGAGACTCGAATCAGACCTCTTCTCTATGATTAAGTTATGGGTTCATATTCCTGTTTGTGTAGAAGTTTGTCCTACATGGTTAGCCCGGTTGTCCAGTTGTCGGGAATTAGCCAACTCGAGGGAGGCATATCATAGTTTTTTTGGTTTCGACCTGAAAGCTGTGTTTTTCGTCTGTCTAAACCCAGGAGGCGTTTGAAGTCAATTGCTTCCTTCCTAGTGAAACCATCCTGCACCCCCACACTCTATTCAACTATTGTGGCAAAAACTACAGTACGACTCATTCCAAAGCAATGAGTGCCCACCCTGAGAAGTTCAAATTAGACAGGCTGTGACATTCTCGTCAATTAGGCGAGAAGCGTGAACCCGCCTGAAACCACGCTTAACTGCACAATTACTCCAAATGAATCTACGAACCCGAGTATCTCTAAAGGGGAGACCACTGCTGTAATCAATTAACTACCCATTTTCGCATGTTTTAGGCATTTGAAACAGACCATATTGAGAGGCTTCCCGGATGAAATTTGTTGTTTGCAGCAACTTATATTACCATCAAAAACAATTTACTTGAAATAACTGAGCCAGTACTAAAAATAGATACCATCTGTGTCGACCTCGACTGATATGGCGAGCTTTTTTTATCTGAAGCGATTGACACAATCGATTTCTAAACAACTCAACCAAGTGGATTTTCATTGCAATGTAGGGGGGTCACTTGGTTCCTTAAACACATGATGGCATATGTAGTAGCTGTTCTCATATAGAATCCAAAATATCAAACATTACGTTGAAAACATACTGTTATAACCATCATTCCGGTGCATGCTTACACAAAAATGACCTTGTAACTTTCCCAAAGCGAGACTTCATATCGCCTGAAATAAACAATAAACAGACACCTATCCTTGCACGTTCTCGTGTTGAAGGATCAGATTGATCAAAAAGCCTCATGTCGGAAACTATTTACCAAACATCGGTGCATAGCACTGAAAAAAATTTATGCTGAAACACCGATAAACAGGTAAGGCTGTTTCCTTTTTATTGGGAGTAAGCAGGAGTGGACACCTCTCTCCAGTAGGGAATTACTAATCGGCAACCATCAGGCCAATCTTTGAATGCTTAAGCGTTCAACCACAAGAGACTGATTAGCAGTGTGTTTGGATTTCACTTAGACAGCACATATCGTTCACTCACGTTAATCCACATCACGTCGCCACGCATTGACTAGCTGCTCGAGTGTCTACTTCTCAAATGGAAGTTCCAGTCATCCTGTAAATCTATTCTCCCTCTGAGTTACTAGGTCTGAGTTCATTTTGTACCATAGCAGAGACATTATAATGCACAACTCACGCAACGCCACTGCTTGGTTATCCAAATAAATGACACTGGTTAGACCTGAATATCTAAATGGCTGGACATGCCACCTTGCCGAGTTCGGTCTATGCATCGTGAAATCTCTAATCAACTATATTCAACCCTGACGCCACCTTTCAAAGGTAAGGAAATACAACCGGCATCTAACAAATACCCCATTTTCAAGACAGATTGGTTTCTCACAAGTGACGAAGCTATTTTCCCGTGACATCTTCTGACTCGTCATTTCACCGTTTTTCATCATACGACTTTTTTGCCCTCATTTCCATCTCCTGGTACCGTTGCTCCAGTGTACTCTTTTCCAGGTCCTTGTGCGCGCCAGAGTGAGATAATGATAGAGAGGGATTATGTGAAGCAGGCAAATCAGCTTACGTAATTTCAAGATGGATCCAACGTAGCCAAAACAGTGAAACCATCACTGGTGGTGAGGTAAACGAGGAAACGACACATACTACCGATAAATCAGGGAACACTCTACTGTTCCCTGCCAATATAAACCTGTTAAGGATATGACGCTCCAAGGCAGTCATCCCCATGATTATTATTACTATTACTATTATTATTATCATTGTCAGCATTCCTGTTGAAAACTGGCGCTTCCCTGTGTGCATTCAGAATTGATTTGAAGTCTTTTCATAAGATGAGACGGTATCCACCTAGCCATGATGGTTGCTGCACATCGACGCCAAAATATGACAGTGTTGTACCGGTCACACAATGAATTCCTCGACCCATATGAAACTAGCCCAGCAGCAGAGATGAAGTTAATCCATGAAGACCGGATGTTCGCTCAGTCCTCCTGTCAATATAACTGGGTACCCTGTTAATTAACGTTTATTTCCTTGGAATATCAGTGTCGCAATATCCTCTGTAATGATAATCAGCTGCACTGCTGACACTAATGTAAACCTCCCTTGGAAAGGAAGCGCGGGCACCAGTGTTGAAGTGAATAAGCTTACAGTCACAAAATCGGTAGAATGAATGTTCAAGCCAATCTACAGAGTGAACTTTAGCTCCAAACACGTTTCAGGAAATTTTAGGATTTCCATTTAGCTGAAAACTTCCGAATGCCGTCACACTACCACCAGACTGAAAGTAGATCAGAAGGAAGAATACTTCACATGACGAATGGAATTGCGAGAAAAATGTGTCATCAGTAATGTGGATCCCTTGCTTGAAAAACAAGCGACGTGATTTCCCGACTAAAAGAGGTTTTCCGCCGTGGCCAAACGGTTAAATATTGCATCTACTAAGCGCACCACTGATGATTCTCAATAAGGGTGAAACAGTTGTGCATTGCATCTCGGCTTTTCCTCACACACTGGCTTCTCATACAACGACATGGAAACTTATTCATACTGCCAAAGATTTGCGCTCACTCTGTAGAAGTGAAAAAACGTTTTCTTGTGTGAGCATATTGAAAGCATCTAGACGAGTCCTATCGAGCTTGAATGTCCATGATTGAATTTTGGTTAACGGTAGGGTCATTTTTCACTATATAGTTACTCTCGTTAGTAGAGAACTGTCGATGAAAATGCACATGTTTATCTGAGCCTCTTTAATCTGATCACAATTTAGCATCCTATCGAGAAAGTTGTGTGCTATAACCGTGGTCACGAAAATTTAGCAAAATTTACTGCTCCACTTGGGAAGGTAATAGCGTGAACCGCATCATGGCCAGCGTACTAGATGAAAACGTTGTTATCAGGAACGCTGTAAGTGCCCGGGAATGTTCCCGGGTCTTGAAGGGTAGCTTTTTGGAGATCAAAACAAAAATGCACAGAAAATAATGAACATGCAAGTGCACCAACAATATCCACTTCCGAGCGAACTCACTCTATTCTCTTAAGCTTCAAGCTTTTTATCGCCTTCCAATACTTTCATGGAATAATTCAGTGTGACATGCTGAAACAGACAAACACGCGTGATCAATTATTCTTGTGACAGTTGCGTTCTCCACACTCATTCTATTCACAGAAACCATCCATTTGCAGTCTAACAAAAATTTGCATCGACGACTCAGATTACTTTCACGATGGTTACCGAATGCTGTAAACTGAAAAATATATTGTTGTTCTGTTTGCGGAGCATGGCAGTTGGATTGAGCGGCTTTCTTTTCGAACACCAAAACGAGCTCTGCTTGGAACCAGTAGCCAGTGTCAATCGAATGCTCTTCATCAATGACGCAAAGAGGAGGCGCCACATTTTCAGGGAGAGAGTCGCCGTATACAGTTCATGAGCGCCTTTCCTGGTTCCTGGCACTGATACACGGTGTACACTCGGTACACCTCTTGTACAGCTCTTAAAAGAATGCTAGTTTGGAAGGTTGCTGCTAATACACTGAGCCTACTTGATAGGCCGGAAGAAAAGATTGATTGAGAGAGGGAGAGTCATTTATGATGTTCGATTAAATTTACCGTTCTGTAATAGAGTAAGAATGATTTGTCTCCTCTACGGTTTATATCGCGTTTTGATATGCACTGGCAAGCTACTTGCAGCTTGTGTTACACGGTGAACTGATGTAGGAAATCATTTAGTTGCTACGCACCGGAACACAGACTTGCTCTTCCACGACAGTCAATTATCACACGGTTATATATATATATATATATATCCGTCGTGCTGGTACTCATGGAATACTTTGTATTTAAACGGATTCCGGGAACAAAACAATGAAATCTGGCAGTGGGCTTTTTCGGGAGAAATTAATACACAATTCAAATGAAAATAAATGAATCGCACGTGAATTCTGTTTGAAGTTGGTTCCCTGGCTTGTCTTGAATAAATTTTCACGCCGATTAGTGCACCTCGTGTCAAAATTTTGATAAAATCTCAACTAACAATCCTTAATGCAATGCTGATGTGTGGGTCCTACAGTGATTCCGGTGAGTATACAATATAGAACGTTACAAATTTTGTTTGAAAAGATACTTCGTGTAGGTAAATATACAGCCAAGATTTTATGTTTCAGGTGAGGCGAAGATCTTCCGACACGTCCAGTTTCACTATGCAGCTGATGCACCTTCATTGAGAAAAATCTGTAGTGCGCATTCCATGCTTCTCCTGAGAAACTCGAACTCGCACCCTCACGACAATTAATAGGAGGCTTAGCCGTTGGGCAGTTTCGTTCACCGATTATTTGGGGGGAGGGGGGACGTAGCTGCGCATTGCACACGCGAGCTGGTAAGTCGGTGCATAAATCCAGCACTGTCAGTGGGCTGTCAAGTGGGGGGTTGGAAAAGGAGCTATGCATTGAAGGCAATAGCGTTGATGCACGAGCTCCATTGAGGGCGCGACTGGGCCATATCTGACAATGTCTCCAGCCATTGATGTGGCCCGTCTCGGGGTCCCCATCCAGGAAGAAGGCAGTAACCAGCGCAGCTGAGTTTGCTGGTAATGGCTTTCATACTTCGCTGCCAAGTCATTGTTTGGCCGCCTCTGGCTCTCTTCCACCCTTCACATGGTTGTGCGAAAAGAGCGCTTCGAGGAAGTCGGTCGACTGGCATACGCAGCACGTGGCCAAGCCAGCGCAACCTGTGCAGTGTGATCAGTTCATCTATCGAGGGTGAGTTATTTCTCCCGAATACCATTCGGCGTACTTCAGGATTGCTGACCCGGTGTTCCCACCAGATTCGGGCAATGCTCCGAAAACATCGGTGGTCAAACACTGAAAGTCTTTTGACGTCCTCGGCGCGCAGCGGCCAGGTTTCTGATCCATATAGTAATATGGAGCGCACCGCAGCATTTTAAACCCGACCCTTGACAGAGAAACTGATGTCACGCCTACGCCACAGGTGACGTAGGTTCGCAAAAGCTGCTCTGGCCTTCCCAATCCGGATAGAAATATCATCTTTCGCGAGACCACCGGGACTGATACAGCTGCTCAGGTAGACAAATTTGTCTACTACCTCAATCGGTTCATCCGCAAGCATGAGGCTAGGGTTCGAGCCCACCCAGTCTTGCAGTAGCACTTTACACTTTGCAGGTGTGAAGCGCATACCAAACCGCGAGGCAGAATTATTTAGATTATTTAGTATTGTTTGCAATGCCACGGGGTCAGATCCTAGAAGAGCTATGTCGTCTGCGTACTCGATGTCTGTGAGCGGAGGCCCAGGGAGCACTTCGACCCCACAGGCATTAGAGGCTGGTAGTGAGTCTTCCATGATCGTATCAATGACGAAGTTAAAGAGGAAAGGTGAAAGAGGACAACCCTGTCGGACACCACTTGATGTGGTGAACTCAGGAGAGAGCTTCCCGTAGACCTTTACACGGCCGCGGGAGTTGGCGTACAGCGCTTTAATGAGGTTCAAGAATTTATGGGGGACACCTTTGCTCCACAGACACTGCCCTAGTGCTTGGCGGTCCACAGAGTCAAAAGCAGCCTTCATATCAAGAAAAACAACCATTGTTGGTTGCTGGAATCATTGTCGCTGTTCCAGAATCCCCCCTTACATTATACAATGGTTAGGCAGTGAAACGGTAGACAAAGATAAGTGAAGTGATAAAATTCGGTGATGACGTGAATTAGGAACCTTCGTGATTTTGGACAAGTTTTTGTTTGGCGAAAGGACTTGTTCCAACCCAAGTCCAGCTACCAGCAAAGCCATCCGCCTAAAGGTAATTTTTGCCTCATTCCTTCATCCATTTAGAAAAGTCAAGATTGGAAAGCTTATCTGTCAGCTATATACCTACTCAATTATTTATTCATTTATTTGTTTTCCTCAGAATATACTACATCTTACGCTGAGATGGTATGAAATACCAGGAACGTGAACACATTTCAGGTTAAGCGAGATCTTGTACAATTTATGAGTGGAAGTTGCTCTTCTCGCAGACAGATGAGTTCTTTCAAACCCAGCAGCTGATCGTTAGATTCACATTTCATTCCTTTCAGAATTAGGGAAGTCCTGTTTATCCGTTCCACTTGGGGTTCTTTGTTCATGATAGCCCGACAAACATAGGTGTGTAAGAAATCGACAGTGATTTTAGATAGTATACAGTAATCTGTTGGATCACTTCGGGTTACGCGCAAAACCCCAAAAGCCAAATTGCTCAAATGGAGGTTTGTCTATAGATGCTAAACACAAATCGTGGGACCATGCCGGCTTCTATACATAGTTTTAAGAACTGCTAATTCCTAACGGATCTCAATGTCAACGCCGACTCAACGCCATGTGATTACAAGACAGCGAAACCACCTGCTGACTTAAGCAACACGTCCGATGGCAAGATCAAAGAACGATTCATGTTCAGGTCAAAACGAAGAAGTTGATATAGGTGCAAAAGAAAAATAATTAAATGGAGAATCTAGTTTTGCGGCGTAAAAATCGCAGAAATGAATCAACACCGCCCCACAAAGTCACCATGGCTTTCCCTAATCTACCAACTCAATCCACCTCAAGCAAGAACAAGATCAACGAGAATGGTACAGTTGCTCTGGCCACAAACGCTTCCCTCAATCCGGGGCAATCACCTAGTTTGAGTGAGAAACTAGCTGTCTTCTAATCGTTCCAGCAGGTAATGCTGATGTACATCACGCCCAAACTTACCCGAGGCACTGTTTACTAACACTTCCCAAATATGGCCATCTTTTCAGAGCGTGGTCCTCACTATGGTACCTTAACCAAATGTCGAGAACCTCATGATTAAGGTAACCATGGTCTCTGCCACCGGAGCCTCTGCCCCCTTGAGGAAAAAGTTCAGTGCCTACTTCCAGTCTGAGACAAAATCCACTTTGTTCTGACTCCTAAGCTATTATTTTAAATGCAGCGCAGTTAACATTTTTTGTGAACATCTCACCAGTATTCCCTGATTGCTGTCACCCTTTATCCCCTCTTCAGAGCCAACATTCTCATCAAAATTATCTCCATCTTCATTATCTTTACTAGCATATTATTCCCTCTTTACCGCACCCTCAGCTTTTTATGGTACTTGGTAATTCTCTGGCTCGTTTTTGTTATCTTCATTTGGTAACGCAGTAGAGGCAATTGCTGAAATTGACTTTGCGGAGAACCCTCGGAAGGTGGTATTGAAGTACTGATTGCGACACCTTTGTCCAGAAGGAGCTGGTTGGCAACCTCGAAGTAACTTGAAAGTATCATTTCCATGGCTAAAAATTTGGGAAAGTCCATTGTAACCGATGCTTCGCTAGTCTCCGGTGCAAGGAGACTGAGGCGCCAGAAGATTGAGACTCATCCAATAGAAACCGTACAGTCTCATCACTAACAGAGAGTGCATCCTCACCGTGTAGTAAACTTTTCGTATTATTTTTTGCGGATACTGTCCCCACCGCTATATTTTCCAGCTATTTCAAAAGGCATAAATGTTTACCCCATACCGTCTTCAACTCTTAGAGAATCTGAGCTAGATTTTGTGTCAATAGAGGTTTGTGAGATTTGCGTGTTTAGATGCAGTTGACTTCTTGGCATCAGAGGTATAAAGCAGTTCAGCAAGATATGCATCAATTTCAATAGGTAGGAGGCATCGAGGGATTTCCAACACAACTCTTTGTACGAGTCCCTACCAACAGTCCAACAAAGTTTCCATGGCCAAATAAATGCGTCCGGCTCAACCGAATTTTTCTTTGCACAGCCGCTTTAATAGTGGTTTGGGTTGAAGTAGAAGCGGGGCCGCGAATCCGAGGGGCTTGTAAAGTGAAGCGATGCTTGAAAGTATACCGCGTTTGGTCCCTGGGTGATCTGGCAAATCAACCTTGTATCGGATGCATTCACTTTTGCTAGACCAGCACAGACCTACTGACTTGTGCTAACTCCAATCTGAACTATCAAAGTCAAGCAGCTCGGTCGCTCGCTGTCTGATAGGGATAATATTCAAGACTTCCGGAATGTTGCCTACCAACTTATGCAAACGAATCTCAACATCGGACCGAGTTCATAATCTAGTTTCTTGGCCATATCCACAGATTCCAGTGATACAGGGCCATCATCAATGGGAGGGTTTTTCTTCATTACAGAAACCATATTTCCGTCGAAAACCTTTGTGTTGTTATCGGCAACAATACGCAGGGCAAAAGTAGCCCATAATAGACGAGGTGGCATCAAACGGGTGTACATTAAGGGGATAGAGGTCTAGGCATTTGTTCGGATTCCCGCCAGCGTATCATGGAAAACTGAATGCTGCCCTATTCATCACTGGCAAGCGTACCGGTAAGAACATTTCCTCAATATCTGCAGACAAAGCAGTTTCGTGAAGTCGGAAGCGCAGTAAGACGCCGGTGATTCTATTTGTGAAGTCAGGTTCGGCAAATAAGCAAACGGTGAGGAAACACCATGAACCTTCTTTCGTAAGTAGTTAGGGCATCGGTTTAGCGTCTAAGGAGGTCAGCATTCGTTACCAAGTGACCTATTAAATAACTGAGGCGTTTCTCTACTCCTTTCAGGTTACTAGTTAGGCTCTTTCAGTCGACCTTCCAAGGCAGCGGAACCTGAAGTTGACCGTCCAACATGCTTACAGAGTGCTCTGTGGCTTTCATAATATCCCTGTACTCCTTGGACAGTGATTTATCTCTACTCTTACTTTTGATGAAATCCGCTTCAAACATTCTCAGTATGTGATTCTCAACTCTAGGTTCTGTACTGAGGCAATTCACTGATATTCATCTGGGTCCCACAAGGGGGCTGGTCCGAAACTTGCCCGTTAGAAATATGTGAAGGATTTTTCATGGAACATAGACTTTGTCTGATAACCCAAAGTGCCTCTTGTACATCATTTTCTATCAAATTCGAGACAGCATTTCAAGGAATTCATGCGGGTTGAACATCCGCAAGGTGCGTCCATTAGCTCAGTAACAAAATATCCTGAATCGAAGCCTTGGAAATGGTAAGTAACCCGATAGTGTAGCACAGTCGACTTCCACAACATACCCATCTAGCAAAGACTGAATGGCAAGGCCAACTGTCATAGTATCCTTGATGTCAGGGCCCTTTACTGGGAATGTTTATACGCGCGTCGCTTTTCCTTCTATTCCAAGCTGTCTTGCGACGTCGGCCGTTAGTAGGGTGGTATCAGAACCTTTTCCAGCGCAGCATGGGTTAGTGATTTCCCCTTTGCCGCAACTGGCAGAAATGTTACGAACCTAACGCACCTCCGGTGTCTCCCAAATACCACTGAGTTGACGTTGCCACCTTTCTTAGCCTTATTCACCATCCACTATTTGTCGTGAAGCAGACGGTGACGTCGTCGCTTGCAATTCGAGACGACGGAACGTGCACAAAAGTGATACTCAAATACTATATGATTAAGCTCTATGAAATTGAAGCACAACTTGAGGCCTTTCATCTACTGAGCATCTAGACTTGACTTCGAACTTCACAGTCTGAAATTCTATGAGTCTGTGAACAGTGAGGACAATCCATACTCGCTTTCCTAGCTACGAATTTGATGTGGGTTCTTCTAGCTTGGCATTCTAAGACTACTTTGTCTATCTGATTAGGATATCTTTTTTGGGCTGGCAATAACACCAAATGTCAACGCCGACTCAACGCCATGTGATTACAAGACAGCGAAACCACCTGCTGACTTAAGCAACACGTCCGATGGCAAGATCAAAGAACGATTCATGTTCAGGTCAAAACGAAGAAGTTGATATAGGTGCAAAAGAAAAATAATTAAATGGAGAATCTAGTTTTGCGGCGTAAAAATCGCAGAAATGAATCAACACCGCCCCACAAAGTCACCATGGCTTTCCCTAATCTACCAACTCAATCCACCTCAAGCAAGAACAAGATCAACGAGAATGGTACAGTTGCTCTGGCCACAAACGCTTCCCTCAATCCGGGGCAATCACCTAGTTTGAGTGAGAAACTAGCTGTCTTCTAATCGTTCCAGCAGGTAATGCTGATGTACATCACGCCCAAACTTACCCGAGGCACTGTTTACTAACACTTCCCAAATATGGCCATCTTTTCAGAGCGTGGTCCTCACTATGGTACCTTAACCAAATGTCGAGAACCTCATGATTAAGGTAACCATGGTCTCTGCCACCGGAGCCTCTGCCCCCTTGAGGAAAAAGTTCAGTGCCTACTTCCAGTCTGAGACAAAATCCACTTTGTTCTGACTCCTAAGCTATTATTTTAAATGCAGCGCAGTTAACATTTTTTGTGAACATCTCACCAGTATTCCCTGATTGCTGTCACCCTTTATCCCCTCTTCAGAGCCAACATTCTCATCAAAATTATCTCCATCTTCATTATCTTTACTAGCATATTATTCCCTCTTTACCGCACCCTCAGCTTTTTATGGTACTTGGTAATTCTCTGGCTCGTTTTTGTTATCTTCATTTGGTAACGCAGTAGAGGCAATTGCTGAAATTGACTTTGCGGAGAACCCTCGGAAGGTGGTATTGAAGTACTGATTGCGACACCTTTGTCCAGAAGGAGCTGGTTGGCAACCTCGAAGTAACTTGAAAGTATCATTTCCATGGCTAAAAATTTGGGAAAGTCCATTGTAACCGATGCTTCGCTAGTCTCCGGTGCAAGGAGACTGAGGCGCCAGAAGATTGAGACTCATCCAATAGAAACCGTACAGTCTCATCACTAACAGAGAGTGCATCCTCACCGTGTAGTAAACTTTTCGTATTATTTTTTGCGGATACTGTCCCCACCGCTATATTTTCCAGCTATTTCAAAAGGCATAAATGTTTACCCCATACCGTCTTCAACTCTTAGAGAATCTGAGCTAGATTTTGTGTCAATAGAGGTTTGTGAGATTTGCGTGTTTAGATGCAGTTGACTTCTTGGCATCAGAGGTATAAAGCAGTTCAGCAAGATATGCATCAATTTCAATAGGTAGGAGGCATCGAGGGATTTCCAACACAACTCTTTGTACGAGTCCCTACCAACAGTCCAACAAAGTTTCCATGGCCAAATAAATGCGTCCGGCTCAACCGAATTTTTCTTTGCACAGCCGCTTTAATAGTGGTTTGGGTTGAAGTAGAAGCGGGGCCGCGAATCCGAGGGGCTTGTAAAGTGAAGCGATGCTTGAAAGTATACCGCGTTTGGTCCCTGGGTGATCTGGCAAATCAACCTTGTATCGGATGCATTCACTTTTGCTAGACCAGCACAGACCTACTGACTTGTGCTAACTCCAATCTGAACTATCAAAGTCAAGCAGCTCGGTCGCTCGCTGTCTGATAGGGATAATATTCAAGACTTCCGGAATGTTGCCTACCAACTTATGCAAACGAATCTCAACATCGGACCGAGTTCATAATCTAGTTTCTTGGCCATATCCACAGATTCCAGTGATACAGGGCCATCATCAATGGGAGGGTTTTTCTTCATTACAGAAACCATATTTCCGTCGAAAACCTTTGTGTTGTTATCGGCAACAATACGCAGGGCAAAAGTAGCCCATAATAGACGAGGTGGCATCAAACGGGTGTACATTAAGGGGATAGAGGTCTAGGCATTTGTTCGGATTCCCGCCAGCGTATCATGGAAAACTGAATGCTGCCCTATTCATCACTGGCAAGCGTACCGGTAAGAACATTTCCTCAATATCTGCAGACAAAGCAGTTTCGTGAAGTCGGAAGCGCAGTAAGACGCCGGTGATTCTATTTGTGAAGTCAGGTTCGGCAAATAAGCAAACGGTGAGGAAACACCATGAACCTTCTTTCGTAAGTAGTTAGGGCATCGGTTTAGCGTCTAAGGAGGTCAGCATTCGTTACCAAGTGACCTATTAAATAACTGAGGCGTTTCTCTACTCCTTTCAGGTTACTAGTTAGGCTCTTTCAGTCGACCTTCCAAGGCAGCGGAACCTGAAGTTGACCGTCCAACATGCTTACAGAGTGCTCTGTGGCTTTCATAATATCCCTGTACTCCTTGGACAGTGATTTATCTCTACTCTTACTTTTGATGAAATCCGCTTCAAACATTCTCAGTATGTGATTCTCAACTCTAGGTTCTGTACTGAGGCAATTCACTGATATTCATCTGGGTCCCACAAGGGGGCTGGTCCGAAACTTGCCCGTTAGAAATATGTGAAGGATTTTTCATGGAACATAGACTTTGTCTGATAACCCAAAGTGCCTCTTGTACATCATTTTCTATCAAATTCGAGACAGCATTTCAAGGAATTCATGCGGGTTGAACATCCGCAAGGTGCGTCCATTAGCTCAGTAACAAAATATCCTGAATCGAAGCCTTGGAAATGGTAAGTAACCCGATAGTGTAGCACAGTCGACTTCCACAACATACCCATCTAGCAAAGACTGAATGGCAAGGCCAACTGTCATAGTATCCTTGATGTCAGGGCCCTTTACTGGGAATGTTTATACGCGCGTCGCTTTTCCTTCTATTCCAAGCTGTCTTGCGACGTCGGCCGTTAGTAGGGTGGTATCAGAACCTTTTCCAGCGCAGCATGGGTTAGTGATTTCCCCTTTGCCGCAACTGGCAGAAATGTTACGAACCTAACGCACCTCCGGTGTCTCCCAAATACCACT